TGCTACGCAAGGTCTCTAGGTAAAGCAGCTATTGCTATAACTAAGAAGTTTGTTAAGATGTTTAGCTTCACACAATCTAAGATAGCAGAAGCTTAACAAGCACAAGAACTACAGGCTAACAAGCACTGCAAAGAGGCTCCCTAGTTGCAGGTAGGCAACAAGGTATAGCTTAAACTAGGTACTCACTTCTCTAACAACAGGGAAAGCTAGAAACTAGACTAGAAGAACTAGAAGTTTACTGTTATAGAGGTAGTGTCTCCTCACAATATTAAACTTAATGTTAAAGGGAACATCTACCCTATTTTTCATGTTAAGCGGCTACGCCTATGCCCCTAGAACCCTCTGCATAGCTAAACTAACAATAACTAATAGCTAGGCCTGCTTATAGTTGCAAATAATAATAGGTTGTTAGTAGAGGAATAGGAGGTTAAATAAATTAACGCAGAATAAGCAACAGGGACTAGTAGTTGTGACTGTTTATATCTTATAAAGTGGCGCGGCTATGCAAAAGCAACGTAGGAACTAGCAGCAACGTGCAAGGACTTAGAGGCCCTAGATAACTAGGTAGTGTTCTCTATAAACTACAGAGACAAGAATAGTAACTTACCTGCTAATTTCTATTACAAACCCCTTATAGGAGTTCACGCATAAGCTAACACCTTAAATATAGTATTAGAGAAGAGGAAGAGGAAGACTATAGGCTACTATTAGGGCACGCATAAAGGAGGGAGGGAATGTGAAAATAAATAATAGTCTATTTAAGAAGCTACTCTAGAAGTAGCTACTCTAACTTTAGAGTATCTAGGAGGGCTGCAGCTAGGTATTGTTTATTAAAAAAAAAAAAAAAAAAAAAAAGTAAAAAAAAAAAGGTAAAAAAAAAAATTCTTTTAATTTTTAGTTAAAACATTGGTAAAAAAAAAAAAAAAAAAAGTAAAAAAGAAACTCTAAATACTAATAGCTAACCTAAGAGGGGCGCCTTAAAGAACCCTGTTATCCTCGTCCTAAAGACGCTCCTTCTCCTTTGCGACTAGGGCCTCTGCCTCCAGTTAGAGCTGGGCTATGATGTCGGCAGAACTAGTCACAGGAGCTGCTATGCTAACACGCTTATAGAAGGACGCTCTAAGGTTAAGAACATGCGCATAAAGAGACAACAGATACAGAAGCTGCAGAACTATAAGCATAAAGGAATAAAGCCTAGGGAAACACTTATAATCTGCTTCTACTATTAAAGGATCTCCTTATAAGCTAGAGTAGTACGCTTAGCAAACTTAACCTCTAGGCAAGGACAGGCAAGTATAGTGTTAATCTCCTCCTTGTAGTCAGACTACTTAAGGTTAAAACTAGCAACGCCACTACAACTAGAACAAGGGTAAGAGTCTAACTCAGCGTGCTTGGGGAGGTTTATGTGCTTCTCTAGCGCTAGCCTAATAGGCGCAGAGTACTTAAGGAGGTGCGACAGCTTCTTAGAGACATAAGAAGCTACCTTGTACTTTACTAAAGTACTAAAGGTCTTGCAGGGCAGCTGCCTAACGTTAGTACACTATAAGAGGGGAACTGCAGCAACTTTACCTTAATGCAAGCAGTCTGCTTCTAAGCACATATATTATAAGCAGACTTGCAAACCTTAGCGCCCCTCTTGCAAGCATCCCTAGAGAACGTGTAGGTAAAACCCTCTAAAGCACAGCTAGTGCAAACCTCTAGGTTAGCAAACCTAAGGGCGCGTGTAGTATAGGGAGACTGCTTAGCCTTATTAGAGACTTCCTTAACATTGTCCTTGTTATTAGAGACAAGCATTATATTAACCTCTTCTTTGTCTATAATAATATTATTAGGCCTAATTAGCCTCTTAGACAGGCGTGCAACAGAGGGAGACCTAGATAGGGGACGCTACGCGGGGGTCTTAGCGAAATCGCAATTAGCAAAAAGCACTACAACACTCACCTTGCCCTGGCGAGGCTTAGATAGGGTCTTAGGAGCCATGATGGGCGGCAGAACAGTTGTGGCGGGGCAGGGGACAGCAGCTCATGGTACGATGTTAGAGACAAGCTAGTTGGCAGAGTAGTGGGCGGCGCGACTAGATTTAGTGTTTTGACCTAGGGACGCGTTATAAACAACGCGACAAGTGGGGGGGGTACTGTAACAGGCTAGGCCTGATGGTAGCGCCTCAGCGCTCGCCAGCCTCAGCCAACCTCTGAGGGGAGGTGCCTGCCCAGCCGTACCCCCAGTCAGGAGGTCCCAATCTTGACTAATTGTGTAACCTCTGCATGGAGGACATAAAAGTCTGCAGACCTCTACCTGCAGCCACTCCTCAACAAATCCATTTGATTCATACTTGCAAATAGCCCGCAGAGGCCAGCTCCTTACACTATTCTATTACTAGGCCTATAATGTTTTTTAATAGCTTATTTTAAAGAGGAGACTTAGTAGTATATTAATATAATAAAAGTATAGTTTATTAAGCAGAGCTACTATTGTAGCAGGATTAGGAGTTATTGTGGCCATTGCAGCTATTGGGACCGTTGGAGCCGTTGGCTCAAAATTGGCTCAAAATTGGCTAGACATTGAATGCACATTGAATGACTGTTGTAGGCCTACCAGTCCTACTGTTGCCCACAGTACAATGCCACGATTTCCCAATTTCGACAATGGAAAAACTTTTCCCGATGTGAGCTGCTACACACGCCTCAGCAGCTACCCGCGATGCTGCTGGGCCATACTCAAGTGTGCTACTATGCTGAATCTGCTTTCTCTTACGCGATTTTCTCTTAGTTATTACTGCTAATTGCTCTTCAAGCTCTCACACGTGGGCCTTAATAAGGACGTTTTTATGCAGCATCTCTTTAGCCCCTTTTATAAGCTTTAAGAACCCCTCTTGCGCTATACTTAGTAATTATTAGAAGGAGTTGCTTATAAGCTTAGATTAAGACCTAAACTTGTGTGTATTGCTTAGCGTCTTAGATTGCTATAGCGTTTTAGGTAGAGGTACTGCTAGTAGGGTATGCAGCTGCACTTTAAGGCAATCTAACACTACCTATGTGTTAGTAGGAATAAGCCCTAATACCTTAAAGGCCTTTTAGTAGTTAACCTTTGTAAACACATTAAGGAACACGTCCCTAAAGGCTAGTAGGAAGCCTTCCTTATTAATATAGAAGATATATTAGTGTGCTAAGTCTTAAACATGTTAGGAGTACTTGCACTTTAATAGCAAGAAACAGACTATGTTAAGTAGCTAGAGGATGTGTAATAAGTAAGGTAGTATGTAGAGAGTAAGGATTTAGTTCTCTAGGCAATAGTCCTTAAACTCCTAGTTAAGATAGCTCTTATAGCTATCTAAGATAAGCAACCTGTATACTCCTACCTAACGTGTCTTTATATGCGTGTTAAAGTGCTTTAACTACTTAAGGCTAAGTATATTATTTATCTAACTATTCTTAGAGACTAAGAGCTTCTAATTGTAGGGTATATCTGTCTCCTTATACTAGGCAGAGATGTGGACGTGTCCTTTGTAGATAATAAAAGGCAGGGTTGCATACCTAGCGGTAGGCTGGCGGAATGGGTATACTCCAACGTCCTTCGTGGGTACCCCCCAAAACCTTATCAATAATACATGGATTCTAGCAAACTAGGGCTGAAAAGAAAGAGAAAAACCACCTCTACATTTTTGTAGTAGAAGGTTTTGTTATAACTATTAAACTGCACAAGCTAGAGGCTAGAAAAGGTTAAAAAAGGGGGGGTACCTAGCAAGCATACCTATTAATAGGTATACTTTGCTAGGTAGTGTTAATAACTTAGCTAATACTAGG